CAGGTTGTTTATCTATTTATTTGTTGATTTCAGTAACACATGTGCTAGTTCTATTAAGAGGTAAACCAAATATGAGAAAAGTATTTTGTGATTAGCTAAAATACATGTTGAGCTTGTTTATCTATTTAGAGACACGATATGTAATCTGTTGTTATGTCTCTATTGTCTAAAGAGATGTGTTCATATTTGTATTACGTGCTGTTGTTTATATGTTGTTGATATATTGTTATTGATAATTTCTAGCTGTTGCTCTTTGGCTCCTGATGTCCTTTTGGGTCTTGCAAATTTTGAGTTTTGACTGATTTACCAGTTGTGATTGTTGAGATTACTATATTGTCAGGTTTCTTCTAATATCTAGAAAGATATAAATCTGCACTGGTCTAATTAGAAGTTAGGGGAGTTGATGTTGAATCCCTTGGCCTTACTGTAATTCAGATTTACTTTTGTTTTCCATTTTCCTCAAAAGTTGATGGATAAAGTACTAGTGTTATTATAATATACTCTTCTCCTGCAGCTTGTTTCTAGAGCTTTTCATGTTACTCCAAGTGGGGTAATATAGTTATGTTTCTCTTTAATGTATTTGTGAGCTTAGATTGTGTTATCCTTTTTCTCTAAAGAATTATCAATAAAAGAAATTTTAAAAAAATAGTGGATCAGCAGAAAGAGTTTTTTGATCTAAAAAATTTTATTAAAAGAAGAATAAATATAAATAATTATATAGTTAGCATTCTGAAAAGATATTTTTTAGCAAAATATTTTATATCAAATAATTACAATATTAATTATGATTATTTATAGTTAAAGTATTTATCAAAATATTTAAACTAAAATTTAAAATCAATTCAAGTATTCTAACTGACTCATAAATAATACTATAATAATTTATATTTCTATAACATAAAGATAGGTTCCTAAAGGAGGAGATAGAAACAAATATCAAATATTCCTTATTAGGAAACATTAAACTTTTTAAATTAATAACTTAAAAAAACTAATCACAATTGTTCTCAATTATTCAAATCATTGATTTATAATATTTCTTGACTTTTGTTTCTATTAAAGTAAAGAGTTATGAATTTTATTACTCAAAAAGGGATATAAGTAATCTATAAAATTTTGTATATTAAATACTTTAGGGATCTATTATTACTATGACATGATATCAACAGAAGGCTTACATAATTGAGTATATGGTTTGAAAAAGATTTTGAAATATGAACAAGAAAAAAAGATAGAAAAGAATAAAGAATTAATAGTTAAATCCAAAAGATAAAATATAACTGAATATGAGAAATTATTAATATATTCAGAAAGTGAGAAACAAACTGAAGAAAGTGTATGAATAGATAAAAATTTGAGGAGCAGTTAAATTAAAAAAAAAAGTGTAAAATCTCAAAAAACATTTGACAAGATAAAATCAATTGGAGATAGTTTTAAAAGAGTCAAGCTAAAATTTTTAAAGAAAGAAAAAAAGCAAGTGAAAGAGAAGAAAAAGGAGAAAGAGAAAAGTGATGAATAATTTAGTCAATTGATTTGTAATTTTTTAATATATTTTTTGAAATTTATTAAATTTTTGAAATATTTGCCAAATTTTTATACTAAATTTGTAACTTTTGCTAAATTTTTTGTTACAATAATTTTTTTTCAAATTTTTTGTCACAGTTAAAGATAGATTCCTAAAGGAAGAGACAAGAACAAAAGTCAAATGTTCCTCATTAGAAAACATTAAAATTTTAAATTAATAATTATAAAAAAACTATCCATAATAATTTTTCATTATCCAAATTATTGATTTATAACATTTTCTAACTTTTGTCCCTATTAAAGTGAAGAGTTATAAATTTTGTCCCTCAAAAAGGAACATAAGGGATCTATGAAAATTTATATGCTAAATACTTTAGGGACCCATTATTAGCCACAATATCAAATTTTTTGTTAAATTTTTTGCCACAGTAATTTTTTTACTAAATTTTTTGCTGCAGTATCAAATTTTTGTATAATATATCATAATTTACAAAAAAAAATTTTTTGCTACAATATGCAAAAAATTTTTTGTTATAATATTATCAAATTTTATATTGAGTTTTTTTGTTACAGTATTCAGAAATTTTTTTTTAATTTTTTGTCAATATTTTTAATACTGAGGGCAGTAATAAAAAATAATTCATCAATAATTTATTATTGTATTTTACCAAATTCAACAATAATTTGATTACCAAATAACATAATTTTAACTAGTGTTTTAGAAGTCTAAATTCCTTAAGGAAAATATTTATAATATAAAATAATTAAGAGATATGTAATTTAAATTATAAATTCTTATTTTTTTTCTAAGCTTCTCAAGTAATAACAAAGCTTTAATAAATAAAATCTAATATTTACATGTTTTTCTTGAAGTATTTCAATTTGATACATACTAAATAAAGCACTAGTTGAATTGACTTGTTCAATGCTATAGATAATATCAAAGAAGATTTTTTTGAGGTTCAAGTGAAACAAAAAATATAATCTAATTAGATAATCTTTTTAAAAGGAAAATTGTTTTATTTTTGGATTTTTTTGATAAGGTCTTAAATTGTTTTTTTTTCTTATTATTAATTCTCTTTTCTTTTTTAACTTATTAATTTATTAATTTTCAAGTTAATTGACAGTGATAAACTGTTGACAATAATTCTAATAGATAGTTATTAATCCAATTGCATTAGAGAAACATAATATTTTTCTTAAATCTGACTTAGAGTACTTTTGTAGAAAGATGGATTATTTACTTTATTAAAGCCTATAATTTATTGTAGATTTTGGTTTAATTTTTAAATAAAGACAAGTCAATATGGTATGATTTTAGGTTAAAAAAAAAAAAAAAAAAGACAAACATCTTGTTTTTTCACAAAGCATTTCAGATTAATAATAATATTTTAATTATTCAAAATATAATCCTCATTATTATAATCCATTGACATGATTGCTTTCCAATTTTCACATTAATCTTTTCTGGAAAAATGATACAACACACTCATACACATCTTTTAGTCATGTTTTTTTGTATTACTCTTTTCATGCAATTGCCTTTTTTATTGTTACACATGAATAAATTTTTGCATTGTTCAAACAGTTATTATGTTTAATTAAGCTACAATGTTTTTAATGACTTGCGATTCTTCGAGGATTTCTTGCGCATGTGCTTTTTTTTCAATTAAAGAACAAAAAAATTTTTTTTCCAGAACGTGAATAATTTCTATTTTTTTTAATCTTCTGGCATCAGGAAACAAAACTTGTTGTTAGTTCGATACAGGAGTGTGCCATATTGAATCATTCATTTTTTTTCTCGCGTTTAACTGACGGTCGAAAAGATAAAAAAAAAAGTAATACCCAAAAAATATCAAAATGGAGGTAAAGGTGTGCTTTTATTTGCTCATGTGATTTTAAGGGCTAATTTTGGTGCCTACTGTACAAACAACAAAATTGAAGATCGATTGTTAATGAAATACCAATAGATTCCACCCATATAGAGCTTTTGGAAGAACATTATCTGAAAAGTGCAGTCTCCAGGCGAATATTATAGTGCTATACCATCGTATCTTATTGAGAAAAAAAGGTACAGATATTTAAAAACAAAAAGAGAAAGATGCTTCATCTGAATTAGAAGAATCAATTTCTCTTTATTTTCATGGTGCTTAATCGATCATATTCTCTAATTCGAAAAGCTATCATATGTTCTCTCTCCTTGAAATTGGTCCAAAACGATAGAATCGAATCTTTGTACTAAATATCTCATGCAATCGAGTTAGTACCATATTAAGGATCATGTGCAATACGTGTCCAGAAAAAAAATGTTTGCTGTGAAATCTTAATCTAATCCAAATGCTTAATAAAACATCTACAGTCAATATTGACATAAGGGTAAAGCCCACCCTTCTAATGCCGTCTGGTGATAATTTGATGTAGTTCGCTCGCTATTGCGCACGTAACTGTTATGAAAATGCATGCACCATTTACAAAAAGATTTTGCAACAAAAACGGAGAATACTATTTCATAGTTTTATCTGCATTACCTAATAACTTCACATATCTTAAAACTAAATTTCATCTGCAAAACAGCAAACAAGATTTAGATAAAAAAAAACAAAGGAATTTTTTTTTTTTTTTTTTTTTTTGGTGATGAATCTAAGTTAAGTACAAGTAGATTTTACTGTGCTGTTATGTAACTGAACTCATTTAAATATTAATCCTAATGACAATATAGAAGAAAAAAAACACTAATAATACAAAGCAGTCAAGAATTATACATTAAAAATTATACAAGAACCTTAACTATTCTATGTACACTGGTAGCAAGGATTTATAGTGTTACAAAATTGATTAATGCTAATTGACAAATGTTTATTGAAATTAATCTCTCTCTCTCTCTTTTTTTTAAGAAAAATGCTAAAATAAAAAATCTTCCGCTCCAAATTGTCCATTATATTGGCAAGTTCAACTTATATTTTAACTTTGAACCAACTACCGTTGGCCCAGCAATTAGTCCTATGAATGTAAGATACATGACTAAAAATAAGAGCCCATATGTCCAAATCATGCGCGACCTTTGTCGCCTCTGTTTCTGCGAAAATATCGGTTCCCTGATTCGTTTACTTGTCTTCAACCAGAACAACATGATAGAATGAAAATTATCAATCCAAGGTATCAAGCATATGGGTGCTAACATGAATAGAATAATATGACCAAGTATAAAGTCCGTTGCGAAAAGAGACATTTCAACTATTTTACAGATGTATTCTCGGAAAGGTTGTGTAAATGATGATCCGCCCAGTCCACGACCGTACCACTTTCCCGTCCACCACGCTCTATTGGCCTCATCATGCTTGAATTCACGTGTTAAGAATAATACAATAAAAAATTTGAAGATGAGTCGCTGAATTGCAACCAGCGTGATAACACCCAGAACGGCATCGGGAAAATTCCAGGAGTTTATGAACCACAAAAGTTCGAAAACTATAATCATGTTGAGAACTGACCAGGCATGTGCGATCGCCGCAATCGTGGATCCAAACTTGGGAAAACAATAGTTCATCAGCGGACCAATCAAGAACGATACGAAGAAAAGAACCGCCAGCATTGTTGCGTTCATCAAGACAGGCATGAGGGCTATGACGCAAACAAGGATGATCGCACTGAGACCGTCATTTGGTTTCCCGGGATTCTGTGGATTATAGGTTTTGACAAATGCGAATGCCAAGACGCAGAGTGCTGCCGACAAAAGTGGCAAGAAGATTTCTGATGCGAAGATCACAACGAAACTTGGACGGGGGACATCACTAACAGATTTCTCGGACGGATGACCTGATCTTCGGCGTTTGTACCCGGTGATCATTGTCCTGGACATACGACAGAATGAGATCCAAGAACTTGCGTGGGTTTTTGAATTACCGCGCGACATCCATCGCAAAAACTCTCGATAGTCAATGATGAAATCGGTGAAAGAGAATTGATGAGGGTTGAATAGGAACGGAGATATCGCCAAGGCAACAACTGACAACCAAAAGTATCCCAGATGTGGTAGTCGTATGGTCATGGTCACAAGAATCAACTCCAGAAGCGTCCTCATACCAAAATAGATGCTCGGACAGGAAAAACGTGCATACAACGTCGAAAATGGGATACGGGCGGTTGCAAATCCACGACCACTCTCGATATATCGAGCACCGCCAAAATTAAGATTTGTCGTGATACTGTGTCTGTAAATCTGCGTTATGAAGACCTCAAAGAAGGGCGAAAGTGATAACAAATGTTTCCCAAGACGGAGGGTACTACGCAATAAGCCTCGTTCGGCAAATTCCTGAAGGAACAATGGCAGGAATGCTATTAGGAATACCACGGCGATAGAAACGATTGAACGTTTGATCCAATCGAACACGGGATTAAGATTGTAGCATCCTGGAGGACGGAGTGGTGCATTTGGATCGGGATTGAAATCGCACACTGTCAATGTCGTCACCATCACACCGATAAACACCATGCCAAACACAAATAGTTGAATCGACAACATAATGAAAATATTGTTCACATGAAAGCCGGGGTGGGCGTAATAAAAGGTTAAGAAGCGATCTAGAGGAAGCTGCGTCCCCAGGTAGTAATACTCGCGAGATAGCATCTGTTCACCCATGCCGGTTCCGATTTTAGTGGTGAAGTGAAGAATGGAGCCGAAGCCGAGATCACGACCTTTACCGCATTGATAGTATTCCGCGTGTTTGATGCGCCCGCCACGACTGAACGCATTTATACCGGCATAGATATCTTCGTTAAGGTGTAAACCCTTTTGCGCTTTTGATATACCTGATAATAAATGAATATTATTTGATTAAGATTATTAATAATACGCGCGGATCACGTGAGTTTGCGCTTGACACCTACCACCCCGAGTTGTCATGAATATAGCGTTCAAGAAATCAGGATGTCCATAGTGCAATCGACCACCGATTTGAGCCATGATCCTTTGAGTCAATGTACCGAAAGTTTGCTCTTTGGCAGCAGCCACATCGCCAAGAACACCATAGTTCTCGGAGAAAATGTACTCTCGGGCACCTACAATCGCTACCGGTTCCTTCTGGGATGGTTCGGTGGTCGAAGAGTACGGTGAGGTGGAGGTCTCATATTGCTCGAATTCCTTGAGAATGCTGCGAATCTTGAGACACTCCTCAAGATAGTTGTCCTGATTAGCATCCACCAGTTGCAAATATTCGCCGCGACAAAAGATGATGGCGTGATTTTGATTGTCAGATTTACCATCCCCAAGAATTGGATTGCCGGGAAGTTGGATACGATATTTCGGTTTCCTCTTCCCATTCAACAATTCACAATGACCGTCGATCAACACAGAGAATATTTTCGACTCCTCGCCCTCGTTCTCAGCCGGAACTTCGTCGAGATAAGCGATCTGCAGATCGGGATAAGTTTGCAACAGGAATTCCACATTCTCACGCTCTTCGTCGTTGAAATCGTTGTAACGCTGCATGGACACCACAAATTTGAATTTTCGGCGGGCCATAGTAGTGACTTCTTCCTTGAGTTTATCTTGATCGCCAGAAAAAATAGCTGCAATATCGGGATTTTCCACGTGGTACAAAAGCTTAATCGCCTTCGAATAGTTCATAAACCCAGAGATCGTGCGATATAGCGTTTGAGATCGAAGAGACGCCCATATGCGTGTACGCGTGGTGTATTCTGGTGCCGACGATTTGAAGCCCACCGAATAGAAGGCCAAATCATGCTTATTTCTGTCTTTGGTTTCTTTCAATGGGCCCTCTTCAAATTGACTTTCCATGTCATTTTTTTCGATGAGAATTTTAGTGTCCCTGACGAAATTGTCCCATTCTTCTGGGTGCAGCTGCTTCAGATATTCCAGCAAGGTAACTTTGGTGTTCTTATCCTTTTCACGGATGATTTCTCGAAGGGACAGGAGAATCTTCTCCGAGTAATGAGGAGTCAAGACGGTGAACGTTGGCATATTTTGAATTGGCAGTGGATCCGGTATCGGGGTTGACAAACTTTGCGAGAAGAATGACATACGACGTTCGGCTTCACCCATCATTGGAAAGAAATGATCCGAGTTATGAGCAACGAAGAAGGTGGGTGGCTTCAACGTGAACTTTCCATATTCAGGAGGATTCTAATCGCATTGCATCGTATCATGGATGAATGGAGTTGGAGGATTAAAAAAAAAAAAAAATCGATAGAAGGAAAGTTAAATTATGAGTTATAATAATAATAATAATAATTATTATTATTATTATTTTATTTTTATCACATTCAAAAGATCGCATTATAGAAATAGAAGAAGCATACCTGTTGATATAATAACTTCTGCACATTTTCGATGGGCAAAAAATGTTTACGGTACAACAGTTTCTGCACATTTTCGATGGACAAAAAGTGATCACGATACATGGAGATGACGATCGCGTTCCAGATCTGCGACACCAGGATCTTTGGTCGGATCTCAATATTCGAGGCTGCCAAAATTTTTGCGTAAATTCGCTTGGGCAACATGGAATAGATGTTCTTCCAGGGAGTCCATATGGAGATGCCAAGGTAGAATGAACGAACCACTGAGAAAATTGTATACCAGATGACATACCATAGGTAGGTGTCCAGGAAGAAGAGAATGAGGTCCACGATGATCATGAACACCATGGATATCAAGGGAATGGAGGAACAAATCATTCGACTCATAAATGCGTTGCCGCAGTTAATCGATCTGCTGTCGGCCATTGCTTTCAGAGGATCCTTGAAGGAAAGCGATAAGAAGAAGTAAGATTCGACAAACTTACATCCAAAGACGCAAAGCCAGAGACCAACCGAGGTGGCTCGATCTCGGTTACTGAGAGTGGGATAATTGGCAGTAAATGTCTTGAAGGCTCGATATTTTTGAGAACCTTTTAGTAGTCCGCCAAACAACTTTGCGCTCGGTGTTATGACGAAGATGAGAGTGATGAATAGTGAGATAATGAATTGAACGACGCCGATAACCAAAGATATCTGACTGGTACGTGCTTTCACGTAGATATAGTATGTAGGAGCGGAGTTGACGATCAGGATCAGGAATAGAATGGCAAGCCGTTTCGCCAGTAACGATAGATTATCTTTCTTCAGGGGAATGAAGAAGAACTCGCAGACGCACCCGACAATCATGAACAAAGTGGAAATAGCTCCACCAAGAGCCACCACGGAAAATTGAACGGCCGGTTCCGGGTTATTTATATCTGTGTACAGGAATGAGGCGTTGAATGAAGTATAGTACCAGAAGATGGAGACGTGGAGGATCCAAACACGAGTAAAATTAACGGCAAGATGAAGCCAAGTACGCTTTTCTTTGTAGGTCTTCTTGAAAACGTGGTTCCAATCCACCTGACCGAGCATTTGATAACGCTGGCTTTTGTGCAACGCCATAAGACTTGATTTGTCTTTCAAGACTATACGTTCGATGCTCTCCGCGTACCAAAATAACTCATTGATATCATCGTAGCCTATAGTTTCGGCGTGATCCTTTTCCCTCTTCACGAAACTTCCGTCGACCATTTTATACCCTTGATCGAGAATGTATTGGTAGAGTGGTGTGACAACATTTCGTAGGTATTCACCCTCGGGAACCGGTTGTGTCACGGCTTTGTACTCCGGACCCTTTGTGTAATCATCGGCAAGTTTAAATATGAAGCAAAGGCATTCAGAGGTAAAACGAACCTGTGCCGCCTCACCCCACAACAAAAGCCACAGGGCAATATGACGTACACGATCTTGATGAGACATTTGTCTCATCTGTCTGTTCCATTCTTCTTCAGAATCTTTATTCTCCTGGCTTGGCAAGTCGCTCACACTATTTTTCCCATCGTCATCGTCATCCAGGTCCATGCGAGTTGCGAAATACCATTGGTAGTAATTCGCGTGCTTTCCACCGATGTAGTCGGCGTGAACGGTCAACAGAGCTTGGGTGGGAGTCATTCGGGAAGCCCGAGAATCTAGCATGCACATGAGAAGGTCGAATATGTTGCGCATGCTCTGTTTCTGAAAACCAAACTTGTCCACGAGTTCAGTGAAGATGTCCTCTATCTCCTCCTTTGACACCGGAGCCTGATGATCATCCGAGTTCCACGAGGCGTAAGCCACACCATCATCGGTTGTATGCGGGTACCCTAAATTATAATTCTCGCCGTCATGGCTGAATTCGGAGGCTGTATAGGTTGAGGAATTCTTTTTGACCGACGAATTTTGAAAAGAGTCGCGTGAGAGAACATTGTAACGACTCTCATGATCCAGACCAATGTTATAGACGAAGGAATCGTGATTCACTCTCGAACCATCTCGACCTTTACCCTTTCTATCATATTCATTGATCACATCATCAGGATAGAATGAAGATGGGGGTCGATTACTGAAACCTTTTGCAAAAATGGAAGACGAAATCACACGTTTCATTGAATGAAAGTAAAGAATAAATAAATAGAGTTGAATAGAAATAAAATGGCAGATACTTACCATAGTTGTTCGAATAGACGGGAAATGATTGTGACGACTCGACATTGGATCTCTCGGTGTCATCCTCCGTCTCACTGTCTTCATAATACCTTATAAAACTGTGTATTGGAAAATAATCCTGCTCTTCAAGAGAGTCACGCCTAATTGACATACGTGGATTACTAAGATGCGATATAATTGAATCACGTGAATCATCATAATAATCATAACGGTTATTACTATGGATAACTTGTGGAACATTAGGCATAGCTGGAGAAGAGAGATATTGTAACGGTTTCTGAATAGGTGTTTTTGATCTGGAGGGTGGTACATGGGAATTAGAAAAATTTTGTTGATCGAGGCGCGAAAATCTTTCTCGCGGAAGTGAAGGGTCGTCTTGCGCGCATGAACTTCTTGATTCAATGCTAGGTGAGTCTGATTGCTCGTGAGTACTTTGCAAAGGCTTTGGACTTGGCGAATTACGAAAATTTTGTTGAAGTTTCGAACTGGAAGAACTTGCACTTGGGGACGAAAAATACGCTGGTTGTATATTAACATTGATTGAACGTTCTTTTGGATCGTGATTCTGAGAATTACCCTCCTCCATCTGGAGTGGACTGTTTGTATCATGAAAGTAAGCCATCTGGCTTAAATCGTTCGTTGACTGTAGTAATCTCCTAATATTATGCCCGCCGACGAAGTTGTCAATGGAATTTCTAGAGAGACAAGCAGAAGAAGAATCTAACGTTCTACGGTGAGGATGATATCCTAGAAAAATAAATTGAATGGTCAATTGTTTGAATATAATGAGAGATATTCATTGATTCGAATGTCTTTCTTTTTCATCTCTCAATCATGAAAAAGGGAGGATCCAGCGTTCACGAAATATTTATCACACTCTCTCATGTAATCAAAAAAAGGTAAAGATTAAATGAACAAGATAGGGGAGGGAGGGATCGTGGTTACAACTATTAAGGACGACGAGTACCACATGAACATGGTACGTTTTCTACAAATGTGATCGTGAAGCATGAATCATCGAATAATTTATTATCGCAAGGACGGGGCAAGGAGGGATTAGGAATTAAGGAATAATTTCGATTGACAATACAGTACAGACCAAAAAATAATATAATTTTCAAGATTCAATTAATAAGAAAGTCGTCGTCGTCGTCGTCTGGGTTTAGCCAGACACGCAACTACATATTCGCATCCAGAATCGGAAGAGCCTACGAATGTCTATTCCTATGAATGATCGTGACAATTACCTGTTGTCTAGGAGGCGCATGCGTCTATCCCTTTTAAAGTACGTGCGCGAACGTAATTTTAATTCTAATAAAAAATTTTCTCATTAAGAAACATGAAAATTTCTTGAGAGATGAAAGAGTAGGACTTGGATTAGATCGTTTTATAGAGTTGCCATATCGATATTTATTCACGCACATCCATAGATAACGCCATTTTCTGGAGAGTGCATCGAAAGGGTTTTGATTGATGCACTCTGTCTATTTTTGGATATATGAGAAAAGGAAAGTTTTAAGACAAGAGGAAGTTTTAGAATAAGGAAAAAATTTTCATAGCCGGAACTAAAAGGCTAGGTACAACGTAGTACGTAAGTGTGAGATTATCTTCTACCTAAGAGAATTCGAGGTCACCGAAGCGAATAAAATTTTCGCCGGTTTCGCACACACACAATGTTCGCCTTGAGAGCAAATTAATGAGGTTGAAATGTCACGCGAAACCGATGCCGTTTTACCGAAAATCGCTTTCGAGACGTTGCTCAAACACAAACACAAAAAAAAAACACTTTTTGACATTGCATTGCGTATAGACCAGTATTGGAGGTGTGCAAGGTATCATCATTGTCAGAAAACGTGTTACAATATTGTCGAAAGAATCCTTGTTTTCTTTTTTTTTTTTTTTTTTCTATACATGTGTACGTAATGCGAAATCGTTTTCCGTTACTCCTTGTCCCCGTAGCTTATTTTATCCCAGTTGTCTCACACCAGATAAGAGCATAAAGATGCATGCTACGTGCAGTAAATAGCCAATTTCTTTGGTACGTTGGTGCATAGAGGAAAAAAAATGTGAGCATGTACACATCTATAGTGAATAAATATTAAGGATTAAAAGAACCAAACTAGTTAAGCGTGAATTGCCCTGCCCTTAATGTTTTGAGTCACCAGAATTTTTAATGCAATTCGTTGGAATTCTTGTAAACGATAATGAGATGGATGCACGCACGCATACATCCATATTCGGTCTTTCGCAATATCTCGAAATAAGGCATGCATTTAAACAATAAGTGAAACTTTAACCTGCAACCATTTTCAGCTGCTGACTATTAAGTAGATACGTATCGAATCGTATCGATTGCATTACGTAGTACACAAACAATAAGCTAAGTGGCTTCGGATTTACGCATTTGGAAAAGCAAATTCAGATGCTGCTTTTAATATGTTGCTTACGAAATCTAACAACATTTGGCGGAGTGACCTGACTGGCCTTTGGTTACAAGGATTCAAATCACCATGGAAGTTATTCGTGTCATCGTCATCCTCATCGATCAAGTTCAAAGGAACTTATTGTAGTATGCGTGCGTACAATCTGAATTTTAGAACTGCATTTAGAACACCGAGATACTGCACCAATCCAAATTTAGCGAAATTGTGCATGTCCATGTTTGTTTAATCATTAAATTATAATTCACTGCAACAAACAAGTACAATTATTGTTACCTAAACTTTCCATCATAAACCAAGCAATTAATTAAAGAGATAGATGATGAATATTTTTTTTTTCTATATCTGATACACTGACGAGAACGAAAATAGCTTCAATGATACTCCCCAAAATAGAGTTTGTCGTACGACATTTCGTCGAAGGAAAGGCAAACAGCGTCCGGAAACTCGATTTCTGCACTTAAAATCTCCTAATTCGACCGCCACGAGTTTTAACCATCATGCGGCAAAGAACAGTCGGTCAGTAATTTTATCCAATGCACTAATTTAATTATAGAAACAATAATCTGATTGACAATCGATAAAAGGTTGTTCGGTTTTAACTCCGGATACTAAATTCGTTTAATTTCTGGAAAAAAAAAATACACATGCGTATGTATAAACTATTGCGCGTGCCGTTAAAATCATTGTACCAATCGTTTTTTTACAGAAAAAAAAGAATCTTTTTTTCTTTCAATCTCACGTGAAACTTAAAATACCGATTTTCCACCGTATATGGTTTAATTTACAATGTATAAACTTCTAATATTAAATCTCGATAGTGTAAAGGTATCTTTCTAGAAACGACAATTCTTTTTTGTCTCTCGATACATAACTTTAAGGTTGGATAAATAAATAAATATAAATATATACATATATCTAAATTTAGAATATTTTTTATTAAAATCGATTGTTTTTTATTTTCGAGTTATATTTTTTATTTTGATTTGTTGAATTTATAAATATATAATAATTTAAAAAATCAGATATTAAAAAAGTTTATTTCAATATCAAATTAAAATTTTTATAAATTAATTATGAAAAATATATATTAATAATAATCGATTTTTTAACAAATAATAAATATTATTATAAATTTAAACTTGATTCAATATATTATTATAAAATTATGAATATATTAGTTTATAGTACAGTATTTAATACTCTATAGATTATATCATAATATTCATAAATCAAATTTTTTGAGAAATAAAAACTTTAATAAGCAAATAATAATTAAATATTTCTTTTAATATAATTGTAAATTAATCAATATTTTATGTATAGTTGTGTTTATTTGTAATTATAAATCGATATTATACAAAATTATAATATTATTGATTATCTAAAATTTAATAATATTATTCTTGATACAATTGCATCACTATTTATAATAATAAAAAATATATACATTAAATTGATAACACATTAACAGAAGATTGATATTAAACAGATGAATCTAATTTATTTTTTAAAAATATATTTACTTGAATATAAATTAAAAATTCAAGTATATGATTATATTAAAGTTTTATAAATTTAATTATCAAAAATTTTTAATAAAAAATAAATTATATAAATTATTTTAAACAATTTTAAAATGAACAATCTGATAACTAGACTTTCTTAATAAAATTTATTTAAAAATAATTAAAAAAGAAATATATACCTTTTCAATAATAAGAAAAAATTAATGGTGATATATCTATAATTAAATATTTATTTATTTACAATTATATTATTATAAAAGGTATTTTTATTAAAGTATTAATAAATATTACAATATTATATAGATTTTTATATAATAGTTAATTTATATTTATATATTATTAATTAAAAAAATTATACTATTTAAAAAATATAAAAAGTTTATTAAACTAATTTAGATTAAACAAAACTAGATTTTAATTAAGTACTTTAAATCAATTTAAAAGACAATATTTATTTTTCTAGTAATATAATATTTGATCTCTAGTATTAAAATTGTTGTTATTAATTCATTATTATAGATTATTCTCAAAAATAATAAATTATTAAAATAATCAGAAAAGAAAAAAAAAATCAATCTAAAACTTTTTTAAATTTATTTTTATAATTTTTTTTTAAATAATAGTCTTATTGAAATATTTTCTTGTTTTATAATTTTTGAAGAATTTATCTATTCTTAAATAGTAAAACTTCAAAAAAATATTTAAAAACTTATTTTTTGACTAATATGTGAATTTGTTTATTATATTACTAATATTAATACTGTTGAGCTATAAAATTTCGCCATATGATCTCCCTAGTACCTAGGATTAATCCCAGTATCTCAGATCAACATATCACATTCTTTTGATCACCTGAAAGTAAAGATCTTCCAGAACACTTCTAGAACATTGATAGTCGATTTTGCTATTAGCAAACTTAGCATAAAATACTCTAGAATATTCTATAATTTTAACTTATTATCTATAACTATTATTTTCGAAGAATGTTTGAGTTCTGTTCAAAATAATATAGCTTAATAGTCCAGCAAAACTAATAGTATTATTATTATTATTATTTATTTTAGTTTATATTCTTAAATATCATATAACTTAATTATATATTTAAAGAAAGAAATTCTTCCTTCGGAGGCTCCTCAGGATTTATTCAACAATAAAATTACCTTTAACCCAAAATTATTGTCCTGCCTCTCCTGCCTAAATGACCAATAATAAACCTCTTTATTTATTATTGTCCAAATTAGGAACTTTTGCATATCACGTTAGAAGTCTAATTTAGTGTTTCCCTGCATTAGTTCTCTATCTCTATCTGATTTCTAAGAGGTGAATTGGATAGGTTGACAACATCATATTATTAAAAAATTTGTTTGAATAAAAAAACCTTTTTAAAGAACTTTATCGAATTGAAATAAAATTTTAAGATCTTAACTTTATTTAATAAAATTCTTAAAAAAAAACTCTTTTCTGCAGATCTATTTTTTCTAAAAAATTTCCTTTTATGGTAATTTTTAAAGAAAAAAAAAGTTGAACAGAGAGATGTCTTCTCAAAGAGAACTTTGCAGCAAAATGACCCAGTGGAAACCCAACTATAACGAAAACATCCTCACAAGAGGTAACACAAACAAGTCATGCAAAGAAACAACAACGCAAGCAGC